AAGAAATAGCAAAAGAAGTGACCTTACCAATAGAACCATTATGGAATTCTGTGGCGCACGTAGCAACACACTTACTAGTCGAAGGGTAAATATAATTGTTTTCAATTATTTATATGAAATATATATGAAATTTCTTTATATTTAATTATTTTATTAGATTTTCTAATGTAAAAAAATGTTCCGCTGGTGGTCGTGCACTTATGCAGTTGGATTTTACGAATTTTATGTCGTTACTCGAATTGATATCAACTCTAAAATTTCCTGAACATCGTTCCTATGTTGATGGTTTTATAAAGGCATATTACTTCTCAAATGAGCAGTTTGAGGAATGGATTGAAACGCAAAAGAATCTCGAACAATATTCCGCAAAACAACTTACAAATTTAATACAGTGTGTTTGCGTTAGTGATAAACGAACCAGACAGAAACTACTGAGTCTCTTGGGTAATGCCAACAACTTAAATACAAGTACAACAAGCACATAGTTGCTCTTGCAACGGAAACATGCAACCAAATGTTGCAGCACAAATATTTTTATTATGTATTATTTTTGGTTTTTATTGTATATTTTTTTTTTGTATTTTTATATTTATATTATTCATCAAATTATTTATATTATTAATTGTATATATTATTGTTATTGTATATTATTCTTTTTTTTTTGTTCATAATTGTAACGAATCATTCCATTTTTATGTACCTTATGAGATTTTCTCAAATTTTTTAATCATTTCTATTTAATTGAATTTACATTTTTTTACTTAATAAGATCTCCTAAACTATCTTCTACTTTGTATACTTAATACTCTCTATATTCTCGAAAATTATATATGAAACTTGAATTTTCACTCGAATTTTATGCTATTTTATGTTTAACAAACTTTTATTGTTATTACTTAAACAATTTTTAATTTTATGCAAGCAAGTACGGACAAATAATTGTAGACTTTATAATAAAGTAACTAAAAGTAATAGTAATACATATTTTATTTAAGTAATGAATGTTTGCAAATGTATAAATGTAGTGAATCAAATGTATTTTAATAAATATTTAAATTTGAAATAATTTATTTAAATCTAAGAGCAATATATTAAAATATTAGGTATAGATTTAAGTACTATGTAGATTCGTAAATGTGTGGCTATCTTACACGTTGCCTACTACTAAACTATTTTTACGTCTCAATTTGTCTATACATGACTAACAGCTATCATATTTACCTAATAGTATGTTTCCACTGGTTTCGTCAGACCAGTTAACTTACTTCAGATCGCTTGAATTACTTGAATCTCAAGTAAGTTAACTGGTAATAAAGTCAATGGAAACGTACTATAACCTTTAACTATATTTTTTTTAACATCTTAACTTCTACTTGCCTATTATAGTCTCAACTAAATCAGCACGTCTCTTATTGCCGAAACTAGTCTCACCGATTCGTACGTTTGGTGCTTTGCCACTGCTCGCCCAATTGAAATTATTTGCTTCCCTTTTCTTCTTCACATAACCATCTTCATTGTCAATGCATAAATTGTGTAGCGAACAAATAGTTTCCACTATTCTACGTACCTCAACCAAATCCTTAGCTTCAAGCGCATAGAGTACATTAAAGCGTTTGGCAATATTATCTAGCACGCGAGTGCCCATATTCAAAGCTGGTTCTAGCAGACTATTAAAAGCCGCTTGCTTTGAGGTGCACCCTTGTTCAAAAGGACGTAATAAATAGTGCTTAAGTGGAAAATATTTATTACCAATTAAGAAACTATTTTCAGGTATTGTTTTTCTACTTAATGCCAGTCCAATGGGTGTTTCATCGAAGTTATATTTCTGTGCAAACTCAACGAAACAATCGATGATTTCATTTTTGGCATTGGAGATTATTTGTAATATAATTGGCATTTCTTCATTTTCGGTTTCTAGAAAAATGTCTAAACGTTTTAGTGTTATAATACCGAAAATACATTTTGGAAATTGTGACAACTCTGGACGCATTTTAAAATCATTCATGGTAGTTTGTTGTGCATGTTGTGTCTTTGGCCATTTAATGAAAGTTTCATAATTATATGCTATTATATTCCAAAATTGTCGAATAACTTCAATGCAGGTATTCAAGGGAATTTCAAATTTACGCGAAATTTCTTCAAAATGCTCATCGGTTGTTAATTTCCACATGGCCAGCGAGAATACTGTCTGTGAAGGGATCGTTCTCTTCGAGAATTTTTTTGCTAATAGAACGCGCACCATTTGGAAAATACTCTAAAATTATAAAATTAATTATATTAGATTGTGGTTAAGTGAAGATTATACTTACAATGAAAGTATTTTTTGACATGTGAAGTTGATTTTCGAAGTCATTCGATTCGAAATCATTTAATAAATTTAATTCCTTGATTTCAATATTTTTATCTAACGTTTGCCTTGAAAATTTTGGTTTTGAAGTAGAAAAATCATGCATTTTGCGTTTCTTTTGATTTGTCTGACATTTGTTTGTTGGATTTTGTGTGTGATTCTTATTATTAAATATTGTTTGCTGCAGATAAAACTCCTCGTCCTCGTCCAACTTCGTGCCTGAGGGATTTTTTCCGTGAAAATTTGTTTGCATAAATTTTTGCTGTACGCCGGAATAGTTTTTATCATCAAATAGAATATCTTTTGTAATTATTGCTGCTATATTCGCAAGCACTACGTTTTCATCCATTTTTAATTACAATATTTTTTTTGTAAAATATTAAAATAACTGCAGCGAATCTGCATTAACAAATGTAAACAAAAAAATGTATGCCTTTAGCGACCGACGTTGCCAGTCTGCGTTTTTTATTTAACTGTCATGTTTAATATTTAAATACAACCATGTGCTGTCAGCTGTTTGTTTTTTGTTGTTCGATTTGTTTTCAAGCCGCACGTGCGATTATTTTCTTCTATCCACTGGTTTTATTTGTTGTATTCATATCAATTTTAATCCAAAATGGACTCATTTGATTTATTTAAACAATTAACAAGAGGCACAAAATTCACAAAAAGAAAACCTGCTACTGAAAAAGTAAGTTTATTGAAATCAAAGCAATGTTTAAACTAAAATTATTCCTTAATTTTGTAACGCAAGGAAATAAAGGCGCGGGATGAACCTAAAGTTTTGAAAGAAACTCAAGACGATGAAAAATATGCTAAACAACAAATAAAGCTTGAAGCTGAGGAATCCGATGAAGAAACTACATTTCAATTGCTTGAGGGTTCTCAACTTGAGCCGGCGAAAAAGAAAAAAAAGTCAGCACTTAGCGAAGCAGAACAAGCGAAAAGATTGCAGGAAGAAATGGTAATATTTGTTAAATTGTATACACAATATATATAATTGAAGTAAATTATCAAATTATTTTAGTTAGCAACATTACGCAAAGACAAACGTATCACAGTGCTTGGTAAAAATATACCTCCTCCAATTATAAGTTTTGAAGAATTGCACACGAACTATAATATCTCTCAACGCCTGTTAGCCAACTTGTGTGCTTATAACTATCCTCAGCCAACGCCTATACAAATGCAGTCAATACCAATTATGTTACAAGGACGTCCACTTATGGCTTGTGCTCCCACTGGTTCGGGTAAAACAATAGCTTTTCTAACTCCCATCATTCATGACTTACGTGCACCGCAAAAAGTTGGGTTTCGTGCAATTGTGCTAGCACCGACACGTGAATTGGCTAAACAAATTTACAGGGAATGCGTGCGTCTTGCAGAGAAGACTGCTCTTAGAGTACATATTATCAGCAAAGTAAATCAGGCTGAACAAAAGTTTAGCGCAATTGGTAATAAGAAATGTGATATACTCATATCAACACCAAATCGTATAAGATATTTGCTACAACAAGAGCCACCGCTCATCGATCTGAAAAGGTAGCCAAACATTTTTGCTTTAAAAAATTATAATTATTCTAAAATCATTTTTATATAGTATCGAATGGATAGTAATTGACGAAGCAGATCGTTTAATGGAGGAAGGGCAGAATAATTTTAAGGATCAAGTGGATGATATTATTGAAGCTTGCACAAATTCTAAAAAGAAATTAGCTTTATTTAGTGCAACGTACACAGTGCCAGTAGCTAAGTGGGCTTTAAAGAATTTGAAAAATTTAGCACGCGTTACAGTGGGTCTGCAAAATTCTGCTACAGAAACTGTAGAACAGGAGTTACTTTTTGTTGGTTCTGAAAGTGGTAAACTATTGGCGGTACGTGATTTGGTACGCGCTGGTTTGAAGCCACCAGTTTTAGTATTTGTACAGAGTAAGGTAATGCTTTTCCGTAAATTATAGTATATTCATATATTAAAATTATTTGTGTCATTTAAGGATCGAGCTAAGCAACTATTTCAAGAACTGCTCTACGATGGCATCAATGTAGATGTCATACATGCTGATCGTACACAGCAGCAGCGTGATAATTGTGTACGTGCCTTCCGTGAAGGTGGGATTTGGGTACTAATATGTACAGAGTTAATGGGTCGAGGTATAGATTTCAAAGGTGTCAATCTTGTTATAAACTATGATTTTCCACCTTCAATTATATCTTACATACATCGCATTGGCAGAACAGGTAGAGCTGGACGCACTGGTAAAGCAATCACATTCTTTACACAAAATGACACACCAAATTTAAGAAGGTAAAGCATATGTTAATTAATATATAAAAAAATATTAATTAATTTATTTTTTTAGCATTGCTCATATTATAAAAAACTCAGGCGGTAAAGTTCCCGAATTTATGCTGACTATGAAGAAGTTAAGGAAAAGTGAAAAGAAGAGACTGGCCAATGCTGCACCGAAACGTGATGAGATTTCTACACAAATTAAGCACCAGACCGAGCGTCATAATAAACTACAAAAAGTCGAGAAGGTTTTAGAGAAGAAAAGTAAAACATTGAAAAATGTTAAAAGCAAAGTGAATTCAGCCAAAACTGAGAAAAAATTAGAAAAAGTTAAAAAATTAAAAACTATAAACAAATCGTTAAAACAAGTCACAAAGGTGACAAAAAACAAAAAGAAAAAACTTACGACTTAGTACATTTAATTTTAAATTTTTTGTCATTTAGTTTATTTATAATAATTCTTACAATATAAATAACATCTATAAATAAATATCTTATGTAAATTTAATTTTTTTTATAAAAATTTGACTATATAAACTAATGCATACATACATACATTTAATGTTTTGTTACACATACACAAAAATTGTAAGCAACATTTTAAGGCACATTTAATTGCACATAATTGTCATTTTGAAAAACATCTACTTATAATATTGTATAAACGATATGCAGATAATGATTTTCTATGAAAAATTTTAGGCACATAAATTTCATAATTTTAAGAGTATAAAATCCCTCTGTCCATATGTAAAATAATGTTAAAATACGTTTTGTAGGTAGGTTAGATTTACGATTCACATAACCAGTCACAGGGTAACTTAGGCATTTTACTAGCTGGCCATGGCAGATAACCGGCAGTTTTAAATACCCAATAATCATATGATACTTTAGTAATTAATGCAATAAGCAGTAATGCTTCAGCTGCTATTAAGTAATATATATAGTCGGTCCAATCATGTGGCGATTGGCACATTTTTTCCTCTTGTAATTCCATTACACGATGTGCCATGTTACGACAAAGTATATCATTGTAATCTGGTATATCACGACTGCGTTCCAAAAGCCAAAGCTAAAAACATATAAAGTATATATATTATTACACATAAATATATAATAATCAAGTCAAAGACAATATATAACAATATATATTATTATATATAAAGATATAATAATTGAGTTAAAGATATATATAAGAATATATATAATATTATACATAAATATATAATAATTGATAAACAATAATCCAGTCAAGGCGTAGAGAGGGATTATGAAGAAACCAGTTAAGCAGTTAATAGAGAGTAAAAGTGCTCAAGTGCACTGACTCAACTAGCCTCAACATAATAATATAGATATATATAAGAATATACCTATATATTGTTATGCATAAAGATATAATAATTGAGTTAAAGATACATGAAAGACGATTTATTATAAATGTGAGACGTAATTGAGTCTATAACATTTTCCCATATAGTTTAAATTTTATATCAAAATAAAAATTAAACTTGTATATCTTAAACGTAAAATCAAATTGTAGATTCTGTAAAGAGAATGAGGACTCGGCCACACAAGTGCTGTTAGAATGCCCTGAGCTAATGCATAGATGGAATAGGCTCCAGGACCTATTATACTGTATACTTTTACGGAAGAGGCAATAGAACTTTGTAAAGTAGGTTCCAACATATACTACTTTTTATTGACGCAACAGGGCTTAGAGGCCTACTCTAAACCCAGAAGGAGGCACAGTAGACAGTCGGAGTGCCACATCTGTGTTTTCCATAGCCTGTATTCATTCTTTGTCGAAAGCCCTAACCACAGTTTATGCTTATTTAGAAGCCAATAACCGGTTATGACTCGAAGCATTGCTTTCAAATCTTAACTGTTCAGATTTAGGAGATATTTGTTTTTCTTCTCTGAATAGTTTCCTAAGAGAAGTTTTGTAGAGTGAGGAATATCTTAATTGGACATAACCCTGATCTAAGAACATTATATTTTTTTCTCTTTTCCTGTAAGTGCAGCTATGGTGAAAACTGGGATTAAGCTATTACATTTTAATAAGATTGTTTGTAAGGCTCCAACATTGGCGGCAAAGAAATTTTAAGAAAAACTGGTTAAAGATTAGAATACAATCAAGAGTCGTTAAAGTTCTTATACGGGCTCATCTCTGACCTTATGTCGTTGGGTCTTTGTATCTAGCACTTTCTTCAATTTGTGAAGGTTTTTTTTCACTTTAGCTGTATCCAGAAAAATTTTTTTAAGTCCATCGATATTTAACCATTCTTCCTAGATGAAACTCTTTGTGAGAAATTCTTCTCCTCTATTGTATAAGAGCTGGGAATTTATCAAGGATATATAGGGACGTTTCTGTGCCTTGCATATATAGTCTGTCGGCTTCTGATAGTTTTAAACGTTATGCCTTTTCAAAAGACAGTAACCAATTGTCACTCCAATCAATGTTTTAAAGACTGATCTATTAAGATCTAGTATAAGGGATCGTTAGGCTAATATGTTATAATGTGTAATAACAAGTTATTCCCTATTACACAATATACAACCCATTAAGCATACCTTGAGGACTTTTGCTGAGTTGCAATCACATTCTAATTTATTTCCACCTAAATTTATTTTACGTCCGAGCCCAGTATCAATGAGTACATTTGTAAGTAAATATTCTGGCAACTGCAAATAAAAACACAAAATTATTTTATTATTTAATAAAATTAGTTAAAATATTACCTTTTTTAAGGCATTGTTACGTAGCGACAAACGTTGAAAATGATTTAAGAATTCTGTTCCTTCCAAGTCATTCATAGATGATATCTGATTGTTATCAGCGTATAACATTACAATATTCTGATAGGAAGGTATTCTGCCAAGAGATTCAATGCTACTTATCTAATAATTAAAAAAATTTTAATAGCTTATAGAAAAATATGCATCATTAAAATATAATTACATTATTATTGGATATGTCTAGAGAGAAGGTGTTTTCTGGTAATTTTGCTGGCAGCTCTGTAAGTCCAAGGCTGGAGCAATCTACTCGACAAAATAGTTTAGCTGATGGTTTCGATTGGTCACCCTGAAATGAATAAGTGATTATATATATATATAATAATAAGAATACTTATGTTAATGGGTTTTATCTGTTTACGTATTGTTTATATCGATGTTTTGTGTAATTCTAAAATCATCCTTAACATCATTTACTGAAGTAATTAAACTAGATATTAAAAACATTCTTAACTTTTTATAAGAAGAATTAAGAATCTATTTACTTTTTTATTGATATATCTCGTGCACAGATATACTATACGGATATCAAATCCGTAAGTAGAAATTTATTTCAAGAGGGTTTTACAAACTAAACACAAAGAAAGAAATTTTATAAACACTGGTCAGCTTAAATGTAGAGGCCCGGAACATCTGGCAAACAGCGTCCCTTTTAGAAGACTCTACTATATCCTCCGTTAAAGTCAAAGGAATACAACTGACGAGTCTATAAACTTGGCTTTATTGTTAATTTTAATGTATGACAAGTCTGTCAGATTAGTTTGAAAAGAGGTCCTAAAGATTTTGAATGTATTCCTAGCCAGTGATGGGCACTAATATATAAGATAAAATACAACTTTCTCATCGTTCACAGAGCTACAATACTGACAAAACTTTGTAAAGGATGCGGAAAGTCTTATTTCATTTGTTGTTATTGTTGTGGTAAGACGAGAGGATCTTTGGGGGATAGCGAACTACAGTTGACCGTTACAAATTTTGTTCTATTATGACCAGGTAAGAATCTTCAGATACCCAAAGTTTCTATAGTTAACTCATACTAATTTATAAGTTTTTTATCTGTGTTTATATGAATATGAATTAAATATATTTTTAAAATGTATAAATATATAGTTTAAAAACACTGTAAAGTGTTCAGGCCTCCCTTTGTGTTAATATTTCTCTTTAACGAAGCCTTTGGATCCGACCTGTCTATGATGTAGCCGTCGGAACCGGCAAAATAATTATATGACTGTATATATATACTTACTGATGCGAGCATTTTATCTATAGTGCACGTGCAATTACCACGTCCTGGTATTACGGGACATTCTGTTTTTAATCTCTTCAATGTTTGTAATTGTTGTATGGAAACATAATCCGTACCATTAAACCAGTTGAATGTGTAATTTTGGACACAGTATGAGGTTTCGGGATTAACGAATTTGAATGAATCATGAAAAATGGCATCCTTCAAGGTTTTACAAAGCATATGTTTATTACCACTGAAAATAAATAAAAAAGAACTATTGTCAAAACTATACTTCCAGTGGTTATTTTAGACTCAACACCCACCTGACATTAACGGTTATGTTTCTACTTTGATTCCATTTGGGTATACGAGATAAATTGTTATTGGCTATATCCAAATATGTTAAGTTGGACACAAGACCTAGGGCACGATCTTCTATATCCAACAAATGATTATTTGATATATTCAGACATCTTATTTTGGATGCGCGAGAAAATGAATTAGTAGCACGCGTTATGTTGCCATCGGTAATGGCAAGCGATATAAGTGTTTGATAAATAGAATTTCCAAGATTCAGCTCAGGCAGTGATATATTCCGTATATGTAGCTTTGTCCAGGTTGATATGTGAGTGCAACTGGTTATATTGACCATGTGTGTGACATTGCAGCAGTAGGAAAAGTTTTCAATGGTTGGATGAGCAGCACATTGGCAAGATGATTCCGTTTGGTTGTCATGTTGTGGCTTAATCAGGCATAAGCTTTCTTCAGCATAATAGCAATTCTTTAGCGAATCTGGAGTTTCATTTTCGTTTATGGATGGGTTTTTAGAACTAGTATTAACGTTTTCATATTGTTGTTGATTTGTTGCTGTTAATGAATTCTCTTCGGAACGTGTTATCGTAACGCCCAGCAAGCAGATAGTAATACCAAATATAAATACCGAGGAAAACTATAGATAACAAATGATTTTTATTGTATGCATACTTTGCGAGCAAATAATTCTAATCTCATCCTAAGAGCTTTGCTATTCAATGCAAACAATAAATATGTTTACTTAACTAATTTGTCGATATACATAAATACGTAATTGGAAATGCTCTACTCGTGTTTCCGAATGAGTAAAGATATTATTTATTAACCAAGGAGTGGCTAGGAAATTAATAGCACTAATTGAATATTTCCTTAACATGGAGCTCCTGTGTGTGCGCTAATCAAAGAATATGCAAAACGTTTAACAATCGACTTTACTGCGATAGGACAATCAGGCACGTTTCTTTAAATATGGGTTGAAACGATTTTCAATCGAGGAAGAAGGTAGGTATGGGCTTGTTTTTCGTACAAATATATTAACGAATATTGAATTTGTTAAAACTGAAAACTATGTTGCTTATA